TTTATACCATTCTCGATTAACATTGAGAACAAGGCAAAATGATATTGTTTTCTCTTACAAGATCAATTAAGGTAATTAAAACATAATTGTTGTGTTGTATTATTTGTTATTTTTACTAATAACTTTATAATTTAATTCCGTAGACTCAATGAAATATCGGTAGAAAGTTGTTAGCTGAACAAAAAAGTTCAACAATTGCATGTTCAGTGCACAAACTCACACCACAATGTATTGATTGATTCATTGGAAACCAACCAGTGCTGGCGGACAAATTAGGTGAAAATTGGAAGTTTCTCGTGCAAATTTTATTATAAACTTTCGCGTTTGTATAATGCTGTTTTAATCCATCGGAATTTATCTTATTTCCAAGTAAATGAGTACTGAAAAAAAGAACGTACGAACAAAAGAAGGACGAAGCCCAGAGTGAATTATGTTGTATGATTTTATACGCCCGTTTAGAGGGTGACCAATTAACCATCTAAGCACTGATTTAGATACCTAGAATAATATAATTCATATATTGGATACAGATTTTGTCGAGAAATGGTAACTTTTTCAATCTACTAATGTTCACAACAAAGGTGGCAAAAAATCAAACTACGAAACTAACGAGTTCTTCAAAATTACAGATACAGAAGGAAGATGGTAGTAGTATTAGTAGTTACTATGGCAACAGTAATATTTCTAGTTGACTGGAAATAAGTACTTGATTGTGTACGTACGTGTGTTTGTAACGCATATTTTTAAAGATGGTAAGGAAGAAGAGGAACACATCTGGGTGGACAAGCATTCGAGGCGAGAACAGTATATAATTAACTATAATCATTGATTAGTTTAACAGGAATAAACTTTTTCATTTTATTCTTGTATTAGATAACCTTGTGATAAATGAGACGGAAACTATGAAATTACATGAAAAAACATCTAAATAGAATTTATTTACTTATAAATAACTCTTCTGTGATTTATTCAAAAAATAAGACCTAATACACAAGCTTTCAACGGAACTGTTTTTTCTCCATGCTGAGAATTAGTGTTTTATAATCATTGGTCGAAAAGTGAGTTATTTTAAGTGGACGCTTTGATATACATACTAATTATATAGTAAGTATGTACGCTTCAGAGAGTAGGCTGGACTTCCAATATAATGGTCATTAATTTAATATAGCCAAATATAGATCAATAAATTATCTTTCAGTGTTTTACTTGTGGGTTTATTAGTATTGAAAAGTAGTATCACATGCTCATTGTTATCTGCTATGCAGTATTTTCAACCATCTCCAAAAAATGGGTCAATATGTTCTAGCAAATGTTATCGTTTAGTGTGTACCATTCAAAGCAATTTTTCTAAAACATGAAACAGATGAGTATGAGAAATAAAATCGGACACGAACCAGTAACCATTATCGAGGTTTCGTAGTTTGTTTTTGTATACAACTCAACTACCCATGTAGAATGGGTAAGTCCGAGGTTAACTTCCATGGTATATTGAGGATGTGTACATGTTAAAACACATAATATATACACACAGAGAGATGGACGGAGAGAGGAAAAAAGAAATAGTTGGTAACCACGCTGGGTATAATGATCTGTTTGAAAAATAACCCAGATTACAATTAAATTTTCTCATACAGAGATTACAATGAATCCAAATTTTATCAACGAATATGATTCGTAATTTCAATTAGGATGTTCAGCTTACCAAAGCAAACTGATCTGTATTATAACCGAATGGCTCAGTACAAATGCAATCGGTTTCACCAAATGATTTATCAGCTAACTTTTCACGTTGAGGTAAACTATGGCTTCTAAGTATTTATAATTAAGTTAGTTGTAAATATTGAGAGCGAGACTATTTTGCGTTTAATGATTTCATTCTATTACTATTGAGTAAATAGTATTACGTGTAAAAATGATGACAAGTTAAAAAAGAACCGTACTGATCAAGATCACTCAACAAATAATAACACACATGAAATATTTCAATATCTATTTGTTTAAATGCAGAATACATCTGAGTAACCATTAAGTAAAAAAGGTTTTCCAAAACAGAAAAAATATTTTAAGCTACAATTGGAAGGGATTGTTTTGGAATAGTTTTTTCAACCACCTATGATCCGAAAATTGACTAGAATGTTAAATGAAATAACTGCGAAGCTAAAACCTTCAATTATTCATGTTAAAATATTTACAATATCCTGTATCTTAATAAATGTTTCATCAACATGAAGTATTGTTATTAGTGTTAATGTTTTATGTTAGAACTAATGATTATTTCTACTTCTTTGATATTCATTGTGTTAATTTCATCCTGACGTGTGACAAATTGACTTAACTCATATCTTTGCCAGTTTCTACATATGACTGACTGATTGACTGAATTAATTAGTGCTGATACAATACATACAATAGCTTTACTAGTCTATTTGGTTGTTTTTTTTTTATTCACGATATTGCATGAAATTCACTCTGTCACTAACCACAGATGCAAAACGTATATGAGAGAGTGAGAGAAAGAGAGAAATAAACAAATGTTTTCATACACATAAAAATTTTGAAACCTAACGCTAATGTTAATTAACTTTAAATATCACCGTGAAAGTATGTACCACTCTGAAATATTCATAAGAAAGTTCATTATATATGAGTTATGTTTTTCTTTTTTTTTCGTTACCTATGCCCTGACATTTGTACAATCACTTGATATAAAAATTAATGAAATTTAATAGTTAACTCTGTATGATTAAAAGAGAAAAGAAATTAACTGAACTTGTTCTATCCTGTATAAGTTTAGATGAAGTTTTTTCACAGGATATTGATTATTATAATACATTATTTATATGTAGAACACTTTCTAGGCTTACAGATGTAAATGAATAATGAATGTAATATAAATTACTCAAAATGACATTCTATATGAAGTACATAATGGAATGAATTAATTTCTTGTTGAAACTTATCTAAATAAATGACTAATTAAAATCTACTTTTAAACAAATAAGAATATATATATATATATATTTACATGAGGAATATCTATGTAACTCTTATAGAAATAGAATCATATAGTTTGAATATGTATAATATTGTGTATTTTGTTTCATTTCAATGATAAAGTTGAATATTTCGATAAAATTACTCTACATCAGAAACATAAATAAACAAATATATCCTAGATTCTACCGTTATAACCAAATATCAAAAATATACTGATGACGTAAGTTTAGAGGCTAATTGATGGAAACCTGCTCAAAACGTAAATATTGCAACAGGCGTTGATCGGTTGTATCCCAAAAAGTTATAAACTCTTATTTATATATAAAATGTTTAGAATGATACAGGACCTTTGTAGAAAATACATTGGATCAATCTGTTAAACATTTCAATGATAACATAAGATGAACACCAAATACGACAGCAAAATCAGATCTAAAACTTCCTGGTGGTGCTGCTGAGCAATAGTGGGCAACTTGGGCGGTCGACAGAGATCAGACTGATCCATCACTTTGCAGCAAACAAGATTAACTGGTTTCTATTCTTCGAGGCTCTCTAAAATCTTGCGGGATGCCCTATGTGTATGTTCATGTATATAAATTGCATGAGCTTCGGCTTGTGTAATTTATGTACGAAGGTGTATTGAAAGAGTATACATGTGTGTTAGCTCAAGGGACGTAAGTTGAAAAATATCTGTTCTATGATCTACTCAATAAAGAAGGAACTACTGTAGAAAGCAACTGAAAGGGGATCAAAGAGGCAATCACTTCAACATGTCATGAGGTCCTGGGCCACATGAAGTACCATCACAAGGAATGGATCACTGTTGATACACTGGATAAGATTCAAGAAAAAAGGAACAAGAGGGCAACAACCAATACCATCCGAACAAGAGCAGAAAAAGCCACGGCACAAGCTGAATACACAGAAGTAAACAAACAAGTGAAGAGGAGCATCATAACCGACAAACGTAAATATGTAGAAGATTTAGCAACAACGGCGGAAAAGGCTGCAAGAGAAGGAAACATGAGACAACTGTATGACACGACAAAGAAACTCTCTGGAAATCGCCGAAAACCAGAACGACCAGTGAAAAGCAAGGAAGGCGAGGTAATCACCAACATTGAAGAGCAACAAAACAGGTGGGTAGAACACTTCAAAGAACTCTTGAATCGACCAGCACCACTGAACCCATCCAACATCGAAGCAGCACCCACGGACCTCCCAATCAATGTTGGCCCACCAACAATTGAAGAAATCAGCATGGCCATCAGACAAATCAAGAGTGGCAAAGCAGCAGGACCAGACAACAATCCAGCAGAAGCACTAAAAGCAGACGTAGCGGCAACTGCAAGGATACTCCACATTCTCTTCAATAAGATTTGTGATGAGGAACAAGTACCAAAAGACTGGAAAGAAGGACTCCAGATCAAAATACCGAAGAAAGGCGATCTCAGCAAGTGTGATAATTACAGGGGCATCACTCTCCTCTTAATACCGGGAAAAGTCTTCAACAGGGTATTGCTAAACAGGATGAAGGACTGCGTAGACGCCCAACTTTGTGACTAACAGGCAGAATTCCGTAAGGATAGATCGCGTACAGACCAAATCGCAACTCTACGGATCATTGTGGAGCAATCAATTGAATGGAATTTATCACTCTACATCAACTTCATTGACTACGAAAAGGTATTTGATAGCGTGGACAGAACAACACTATGGAAACTTCTTCGACACTACGGCGTGCCTCAGAAGATAGTCAATATCATACAGAATTCATATGATGGATTAAACTTCAAAATCGTGCATGGAGAACAGTTGACAAATTCGTTCGAAGTAAAGACCGGTGTCAGGCAAGGTTGCTTTCTCTTTCTCCTGGTGATCGACTGGATCATGAAGACGTCAACATCTGAAGGGAAGCACGGGATACAGTGGACATCCAGGGTGCAGTTGGACGATGTAGACTTCGCAGATGATCTGGCCCTCCTATCGCAATCGCAACAACAAATGCAGGAGAAGACGACCAGTGTAGCAGCAGCCTCAGCAGCAGTAGGTCTCAACATACACAAGAGAGAAGCAAGATTCTCCAATACAACACAGCATGCACCAATCCAATCACAATTGACGGAGATGATTTGGAAGGTGTAAAACCCTTCACATATTTGGACAGCATCATTGATGAACATGGTGGGTCTGATGCAGATGTGAAAGCGCGGATCGGTAAAGCAAGAGCAGCATATTTACAACTGAAGAACATCTGGAACTCAAAACAACTGTCAACCAACATCAAGGTCAGGATTTTTAATACAAATGTCAAGACAGTTCTACTGTATGGGACAGAAACCTGGAGAACTACGGAGACCATCATCCAGAAGATACAAGTGTTTATTAACAGTTGTCTACGCAAAATACTTCGGATCCGTTGGCCGGACACTATCAGTAACAACCTACTGTGGGAGAGAACAAACCAGATCCCAGCGGAGGAAGAAATCAGGAAGAAGCGCTGGAAGTGGATAGGACACACATTGAGGAAAGCACCCGACTGCGTCACAAGACAAACCCTCACATGGAATCCTCAAGGCCAAAGTAAAAGAGGAAGACCAAAGAACACATTACGCCGAGAAATGGAGATAGACATGAGAAAAATGAACAAGAATTGGATGGAACTAGAAAAGAAGGCCCAGGACAGAGTGGGTTGGAGAGTGCTGGTCGGCGGCCTATGCTCCATTGGGAGTAACAGGCGTAAGTAAGTAAGTAAGTACGTCTAATAAAATCAGCAGCTTAATTCTTCAGGTCAAAGACATAACAAAAACATGTGGTAGCAAATACGAGGGAGAGGTAACCACCAACTTCCCGTGAAGTGTTATGCCTATGTGTATGTCATAAAGTGCAAGGGTGAAATCCTTTGCACCAGTGATAATCAAATAATGCGAAAAAGACATTCAGTTATAGCAAATACGTTTGAAAGGAGCGGTGACCATCTACCTTTCCAAGTGGGCGAATATACCTATATGTATGCTATGAAATGCATGAATGAAAACTTGTGTGTTATCGGTGTGCATGTAACGTATATTTGCTCACAGCGCAAGTATACTGAAGTGTATGCCAAAGAATACATGAATGAAAACTTGTGTTACGGGTAATCAGATGGACTATACTTGCTCCTTGTGCGACGATCGCGAGCCAAGACCTTGGGGTAACGATGTACCCACAAAATTTCATCTATGTAGTAGGTTTCTAAGCCATGAGAACTGAAATCACTTCCAGAAAAGCCGACCTTAGTAATAATTCGTAAAAACATTTCCCCACAGACAGACAGCTATCAAAGAATAACTAGACACTGAAGACCGTTGAATAGTTATTTCAAACATTCGATAGACTGAAATGGAAAAACTGTCCGGTTTTATTTGACCACTAATTTTATTTAACTCCTATCAGCTGACAATATTCATAATTGAATTCCAAAACGTTATTCAATCCAAGAGCCGTCATTTGAATATATAATTAAAATTTGGTAACACAAACATAGAGTTTTGAACTGATAGAAAAGATTTGTTGCTCATGTTTATGAACTCGGTAGTCTTGAATTTTCCCAAATTTTTGTAGTTTCATTGTGAAAAATCCCAGTACCACACGCTGAATATCATTCACAACGCCTTAAAAATATGTTATAACTTAATTTATTAGTCACAATCAATGTAGAACATGACATATATCACAAAATAAGACAACGTGCTGGATGATTATTCGTTAAGAGAAATTACAAAACGTTCACATAATACGTACACATAGCTTCCGACCAACCATTTTCGTACATTCAGCTATCCAAACTATCTCATCTAGTCATCAAGTGTTCTGCCTACGCCATGCTTTCGGTGTACTGAACCTCTTCACTCCGTCTGATGACTGCGACAACTTATGGGGCATATCCCGCCAAATACTGCTTACCAGCCATCTTAAGAGTAGTGTTCACTACAATTTGTGCATCAGTTCAAGTTGTCACACTATATCAGTAAAACGAATAAAACTATGAAGACAAATCTCACAGTAGTAGAAGTAGTTACAGTAGCAGTGGTAGTAGGAAAGATTAAGTGCAAACAATATTATAACAAAAAAAGAGAAAATTATTCAGACACACAATGCCGGAAAAATTTATCAAAATAGTCAGTCGAAGTGTTGATGCATGTGTCCAGAAGACATTTAATAGCAATCCAGTTCATTAAGCTCTCACTTCACCAACGATTGAAGAAATCTGGATAGTAATCAGACAAACTAAATTCAGGAAAGCAGCAGAATCTGACAATATACCAACTGAAGCACTAAACTCAAACATAGATGTAACTGAGAGCGTGCTCCACGTTTTATTCAGGAAGATTAGGGAGGAAGAACAAGTGCCGACAGACTGAAAAGTAGGGTACCTAATCAAGATATCGAAAAAATAAGATCTGAGAAATGTGAGAACTACAAAGGCATCACACAACTGTCAGTACCAGGAAACCTTTTCAACAGAATATTACTGAGGTGGATGAAAGATTCAGTGAACGCACAACTTCGAAACCAACAAACAGGATTCCGTAAGCATCGGTAGTGTACATACCATTGTTGAACAATCAATTGAATGGAACTCTTCACTATACATCAACTTACTTGATTATGAGAAAACATTTGACAGCGCAGATAGATGGACCTCATAAAAAATTCTTCGATAACATGGCGTACCTGAGAAAATCGTCAACACCATACGGAATCCACACAACGGACTACAATGCAATGTCGTGCATGGAGAACAGCTGACAAACACATTCCAAGTGAGCACCGAAGTCAGACAAAACTGCCTACTCTCCCCCTTGCTCTTTCTTCCGGTGGTTGACGGGATTACGAAGACCTCTATATCTGCTGGGAAGCACGGAATACAATGGACAGCTTAGATGCAACTAGGTGATTTGGACTTCTCAGATGAAACACCCCTTCTACCCCATACCCACCAACAAATGCAGGCCAAAACAACGAGTGTAGTAGAAGCCTCTACAGCAGTAGGCGTCAACATACGCAAAGGAAGAAAATAAGATCCTCAAATACAACACGAAGAACAGGCGGAAACGTTCACGTATATGCACAACATCATCGATGAATGTGGAGGATCTGGTTCTGACGTAAAGGAGAGGATTGGAAAAGCAAGGTCAGCATTCCTACAATTAAAGGACATATGACACTCAGAACAACTGACAACCAAAATCAAAGTCACAATCTTCAATACAAACGTCACGACAGTTCTACTGTATGGAGCTGAAACTTGAAGAACTAACATGATCATCATCAAAAAAGTACAAGTATTTATAAATAATTGTCTGCTCAACATCCATCGGCCGGATACCATCAGCAACAGCCTACTGTGGGAGAGGACAAACCAGCTTCCAGCTGAAGAGGAAATTAGGAAAAAACGTTGGGAGTGGATAGGACATACATTGAGGAAATCAACAAACTACATCATGAGGCAAACTCCAAGTTGGAACCTTGAAGGGAAACGGAAAGGAGAAGGACGAAAACCACACTGCACCGAAAATTGGAAGCAGACATGCAAAGAATGAATAACAACTGGAAAGAACTGCTCAGGATAGAGTTGAATGGAGAGTGCTGGTGGACAACCCATGTTCCTCCAAGAGCGGTAAGAGGTATAAGTAAATAAGTAAGTTCATTAAAACAAAAGAAGTAAACACTTGAAAAGAGATCTTAAACTTCAATTTCTTTTAAAAACACAATGTTAAAGGTTGCCCAACCTGGACGTTTACAATGAAACACCTTCACTCAGTGAAAACAATACCACTAAAAATATATTTACACGAACTGTGAATTTTTCCTACTATTTCGGTAATAAGGTCTAGCACAGCTCAATCAAGCATTTCAGTTTAAACTAAAATGTCTACTAGTGAAAAAAATTGAAAGTTGTTTTCTCTTCATCAAACTTAACCAACGACACATTTTAACATAACATAATACAAACGCTAAGAGTAATAAGTTTTCTTTCAAAAAAAGATTCTAAGGAAGTATTTGTTCTTAATAATGCATAATTTCATAGTAATGTTTCATGGAACAGATCAAGCGCTTTCATTCAGAAACGGTAATTAGTATAGAGCTATTTGATCGATTCCTGAACAATTCACAGCACTCAACTAATTAAAATTAACTATGAATGTAAGTAAAGCTTAATACGCGGCTTCTCAAAAAACAGTCACTCACTCAGTCAGTCAACTACAACGTAGGATCAGGCACATATATGCATCGGTCAAGTTGCCATACCTCATTAACACAACAAGATGGACACCGGATTCATAAAAGTAGTTAATTCAGAGGTGGTAATATATAAAAGAAAGATTGCAATGAGGATATAGTACAGGAAGAAAGAATTAGTTCGTAGAAAGAAAGATATAAAGTGATTTTAACCTCATAGTTTAAAGAAAGGTAAAGAGTGTATACACCTACACCACTGTGATCGATTCTGAGCCGTGTCACCAAGAGTCTCCAACCATTGATTACGATAGTCACGTGGACCCCAACCAAGTAGTCTGCATCTCCCAACATGGCTCAGACTAGAAGTTAATGTCTTCACGCACTGATGCCATGTTTTGGTTTGGCCACCCTTAACTTTCTTCCAACCATCCCGAACACCGGTTAGCATTGCACGTCGTGGTAATCGGTGTTCGGGCATACGTAACATGTGACCCAACCATCTCAGTCGACAAAGATTCACAACCTCACCAACTGATTTACCATCATTACCCAATACCCTGCGTCCAACCTCACTATTACTTACCCGGTGATCCCAGCAGACGCCAGCAATATTTCTAAGGCATTTGTGGTCAAATACTAGTAGCTTACGGGTGTCTTCTACTCTCAATGGCCATTTTTCGCTGCCGTAAATTAAAACAGAACGAACTGCCGCGCAGTATACTCGTCCTTTAATTGATAGACGGATATCTCGCCTTCGTCATAGGTGACATAAGTTGGCAAAAGCCAATCGAGCTTTTCGAATCCGTTCTGAGATTTTATCAGACACCAACCCATTAGGGCTGATCAGCCTTCCAAGATAAGTGAAGTTGTCAACGCGTTCGACTACTTCACTCCCTATCCTTAGTTCAGGTGTTGACGCAGACCAGTCCTGAAGCAGCAGCTTGCATTTAGAGGGAGAAAAGCGCATTCCAAACATTCTGGCATTGTTGCTTAGTGCTACCAGAAGACTCTGGGTTTTAACAGCGTCTTCACCAAACAAGACTATGTTATGTGTATTCTAAGTCGATAAGTGGACCTCCTGGAAGGAGATCAATACCCCAGAATTCAGTCGACGAGAATGTTATTTCCATCAATAAGTCTATGATGAAGTTAAACAAAAATGGAGAAAGTGGACAGCTTTGACGGACACCACTTGAGGTTTCAAAAGCAGATGACAGTTCGCCATAAGCTCTACCTCGACTGGTAGTGTTCGAGTAAAGAGCCTTCACAAGGTTTATTTACTTCTGAGGTACGCCTTTCAATGACAGACACTGCCACAGAATCTCGCGGTCTACCGAGTCAAATGCTGCTTTTAAGTCAAGAAAGACCACCATTGTCGGACGCCGATAAGTATGCCTATATTCTAAAACCTGACAAATGGTGAATATGTGGTCGATGCAGCCACGACCAGGTCTGAAGCCAGCTTGATCCTCTCGTGTTTGCAGTTCACGAGTCTTAGTTAGGCGTCTGATAATTATCGAGGCTAGTATTTTAGATACTATATTAGTTAAACTAATCCCTCTATGGTTGTCACAAGATGGTTTTGACCCTTTCTTATATGTTGGGACGATAAGTGATTGTGACCAGTCAGATAGAATAACGTCTAAGTCCCAGATCTTAGCTAAAATACTAGTCAACCTAATCGCCAAAACTGGACCATCATCCTTAAAAACCTCCGGCGCCAATCCATCTAGACCAGCTGCCCTTCCTCGTTTCAGATTAACTATAGCCTTTTGAACTTCTGCTAGAGTTGGAGGACCTACTTCAATGTTCCATTCACACTGTCTGGGAATGGAGGGTCGTTGTAGAGTAGCTGAAGGCCAGCTGAACTGTCCTCTGAAATGTTCCACCCATCGTTCTCAACGTCTAGACTGGGAGCAGATAAGAGTGTCGTCTTTTTCTGAAACATTCTGACTTACACTTGACTTATTAATTCCAGTTTCTTTTATTGGTCTGTAGAACTGTCTTGTGTTCCCTATAGCCGCCGCCTTTTCCATCTCTTTTGCTTTCGTGGCCCACCACTGCTCACGGTCGTTCCCTAGACTTTTGCTTAACCTAGATCTGATTTCTTTACGCTCTTCATCGTGTTCTTAACCTGATGGGGTGAGTTTACGAGAATCCATCAGTGCAATAGACCTTGAAGAAATCCATTGGTTCTTTGTAACCCTGTGGTGTAAATCACTGGTAGATGTCACTGCTGTTTCCACAGCTGCTTGTATATCTTTCCAAGCAACATCTGGGTCAGCCTCGTTTTCAGAACTACCTAAGTGTGACCTCAGTTGTTCCTGGAACCTACTTTTGGTTTTCTCGCTACTCAATTCAATTCAAATGGTCTTTTTATTGTGGCTTTTTTGTGTCCAGTGGGGCGCAAGCCGATGCGTGTCCGCATTAGGGCGTGGTCGGAGTTTAAGCAGGTACTCCAGAATGAGCGACAATCTTCTACCGACCCTCTCCAACGATGACTGATGGCAATATGGTCTATTTGAGTCCATCGTTGGTTTGGTGTAGGGGGTCGCCATGTTAGACGATGTCTCTCCTTATGCTTAAAATTTGTGTTTGCTAAGAATAAACGATTGTCTGAGCATAGTTGCAGCAGACGATCGCCATTATCTGTTCGTTGTGCCGGAATACTAAAATACCCACCTAAATGCCTTTCTGTTTGGTTTAAACTACCTATCTGGGCATTAAAGTCACCTGCTAAAAGTACTATGTCTGAACGTTTAGCTTTCTGAAGAAGCTCAGTCGGTGGAAGCGTAGGCAGAAACGACAAAAAGGCAACGACGTGTGTCCCTGTCCTTCCGAGTTCTTACGGAGCCGTTTAGCCGAACAGCACATAAATGACTGTTAACAAGGATCCACTCTAACAGTGCTTGTTCCGCCCTCATGCTTAGTGCTATCCCTACTCCTGCCAGTCCACGAGAGCTGGCCATCGGGACACCAGATACACGGAGGGTGTATCTCGTTGGCTCTCCGTTTTGCCGAGGTGAGGTCAAGTGAATGACCACACTGGGATCCTGTATGCGTGTTTCAGAGACACAGCATACATCAATGGTACGAGATTCATGGGTTCTAGCCAAGGAAGCCTGTTGATCGATTTGACATAGGGTGCGTACGTTGAAGGCTCCAATGTGTAGTTTGGAGCGAGGTTTCAGTAGACCTGGGACAGTGTTTTGAGCACTAGAATCGTTGGCTATGGTGACACTTGAGGGGGAAGCCGAAATAGGAAGTCTAGAGGTGAAAGTCGATGTAGGAGGAATAATAGGAAGTGAAGACGGAAGTTGATTATGAATACAGTGGTCTTGAGTGCTGTTAGAGGTAAAAGGGTGGTTATCACTTCCCGGTTGCCCACACTGTGAAAGGGTTCTTCTAGAGGCACCTGAAAAGGAAATTGGATTAGAGGTGGTCTTAGTGACCTGGGAGCGTGACCGCAGTGCCCAAGGTACAACTGCTTGAGGTCGGTCTCACACGACCTTTTTATGGACAATTTTTGTGTTAGCTCCGTACTTGTTGAGACCTTACCACCGGAGACGGATATACGTGGGATAAGGCGAGGTGTGCATTTTTAGGGTCGACCTTTTCAAACCCCACCCCTCCTTGTGGGAAGGCAGCATCGCTTTCATGCTGGTTGTCTGAAGGAAACACCTAACTGCTGTCACACCTCTGTACAGTCAGCAGTACGACTTAGCTTTCGGACCTTGGGTTTGCTGCTTTTAGTCTTACCGCTCTTCAACCGACCTTTCTGACGTGGTAGGACCTTGAGGAACAGTTGTTCCAGTCAGTATAGCTCGGTTGCTTCACCACGATAGGCAAGCCCGACCACCACGTCAAGGTAGCAACAACGGTCGGGGCTTCTCAAAATATCCGCATTCATATAGTAATGGGATACATAGGTGGAATAAAACTACGAGAATTTAACATGTGTGAACAAAATGATAGTAACTAAGTTCCTGAGACAAACACCCAAACTAGATTAATGTTTTAAAATTTAACAATAAAACTAAGCAAAATGTAGTACGATACAAGTACAACCATATGCAGTGCAACGTACCAAGATTATTCTTCATGTTACGTTTTTCATCGAATGGAGTACCGCGTATGATCAAATCATAAATCCTAGTCCATCCCTCTTTGTTTGACTGAAAACTCCATAGCAAGCTATTGCCAACAAAACCGGCCCGTGGATTGTCATATTCGCTACAAGCAGGTATGCACAGAGTAGACGTTTGTTGATATGTACAATTGTACAAAGATCCAAATAAACTTGTTGTGTTTTTATCGAATCCATAACCAACGCTTATAGTTTGTTTAAGATTTTCAGGTTGATCAGCTGTTACAAACACGAAATTTTGAAACTTATTGTCATCGTTCAAATGGTCAGTACAAATAAAAACTAATATATAAGTTTTATCACCTGATTGTAAAACAATAAAATCTCTAAATACTCCATAAGCTTCAATTATGTCATATCAATAGTGGCAGCTCTTCAGATAATAATCAGTAGAAATACATATTTCTATGAAGAAAAACACAAAGTAATGAATGTTTAATGTTTCTTACATATTAAAAAAGCTTGATCAAATGGGAGAATAAATTTGTAATATTTAAGTTATTCATACTACCAATCAAACTATCTGAAGTAAACTAGCTACAGTGCAAATAACTGTTCATAATGTGCCTTTGATAGATGTTTGTCGATAGGTTTTGTGGTTGAAAGTTCATCTGTTGGTTGAAATTAAATGCTTGAAGTCTGTAATTTTTTACATGGAACAAACATATTGCTAAGTGCTAGTTGTGATCTAAAAGCATAGAAGTAATCTAAATAAACTAGACGTTTTCAAATGAATATACGCTGCATACTCTTTCGTTACACTAAATACTAATGCTGACTTTAAGCTCCTTTTCGTGTTATTTGTACTATCCAAGAAAGCTAGCTTATAACTTGTGAGAAAAGTGAACCACATAAAAAACACATCATGCTACTTTTCAGTAATTTAGAGATATTTAAGGCAGAGAAAATGTTTGTTATTAAAGTTTTAAAACACCAATCAAATGAATTTTGTGCTTGATTACATTTGTCCTTCAGATAAATGTCCCACTTTCATTTGAAGTCAAAGATATCAGGTGTGACAGAACATAGGCTAAAGATAACTTATTTACCTACGCACAAAACTGGATACAAACACTTTTCTACAAAAAAATTCAAATACTAGAAACTGACAAATTTAATCAAGTATTTCATTCCAACAAATGCTCATCAAATAAAAATTACAGAATTTTCAAGTTTATAATACTTTCAGAAGCATACTTTGATGAGAGTACTGACGATCTCACCTAAAACAGCTCAACGATTCGGAGTTTTGCAGTAAACCAGGTTAATTACCTAAAAGTCAATTTTACATCAATTTAAGAAGAGTCCACGTATTTTCGAAATATCTTAGGTGTAAGCAATCACGTCGTAAACAATTTTTCAGAAACTTTGTTTATAAGGCTACTAGAGTGAACGACTTTGCAAGAACTCAATTATGAAAACAAATTAATCTAATTTCAGTGAAAATCCAGCAGAGCTGTTTAAACAGTTCATTAGATATTGTGCTACTTGATACTAAAATTAAGTTATTAATATGATTTCTCATGAGAAGGATTGCTTTAACTCTAACTTTCATATATAAACAGTTTACCGGTTAAACGTATCTCAAGTTAGTAAACTTGTTTTATCCACTGTCTAGATCCACAAGGCATTTCGTGATCAATTAGGTCTAAATAACGAACCTGTTCAGCAACTACACCACGCAATGATCCAAAGACCAAGAAAAGTATGTAAAAATAGTTTTAAACACCTTAGTCCATTTTTGGTATATTTTTGTGGGCTGTGAGTTAGCATTATCTTGCTGCTTACCAAATGATGACTTTAAGATTCAGACATCGTTTTTATTTCTCCTAACTAAAGCGGATCATTTGAGAGGATGTTATCTGTTTAAAAATCATGACCAACTAGTTTACGATTAAAGTTTTGTAGTTTGTATTGAGAAGAAATAGGACCTTAAATCGAAAGAGATTGAGTTAGTAAGTACTAGTGAAACATTGGAAGGGATATTAGATTTTCTTTATACTACAAATCTTGAGGACTATATGGATCATCACACGGGCTTCATGCATAACCAGAGAAGACTACTTTCGAGAAGCGTTTAGTTGTACAAAGATCTGTGAAAACATATAACACCTATCAATTGAGGTGAAATAAAAGGTAGGCCTTTCACTTAATTCCATCTGAATAGAAATAAAAGACGAATCAACACATTCAAATACCGTATCTACAAAAAATCGTAAGTAGGTTTTACGTTGTAAATGAAACACAAAATTCTTTTACCACACACTACGTATACGACCTCGCGTTTATTATTTGAAATAAAACTCAAGAGGTGCTGATGATAATACACTGTCATAATTACGTATACATTTGAAAAAGTGAGAGTGGTTTACCAGAACTAAGTCAAAATGATGGGGTAGTAACTTGGATGCTTAACGTCCATATTCTTTTTATTCACCTTCAGACAGAATGTCCCCAGGGAACTATGACGTTATCAGACATCAAGTACAACTTATCTATAACTCACTTCCGTCTTATTCAGTCATTCAGTCAGTCAACTACAACGTAGGATCAGGCACATATATGCATCGGTCAAGTTGCCATACCTCATTAACACAACAAGATGGACACCGGATTCATAAAAGTAGTTAATTCAGAGGTGGTAATATATAAAAGAAAGATTGCAATGAGGATATAGTACAGGAAGAAAGAATTAGTTCGTAGAAAGAAAGATATAAAGTGATTTTAACCTCATAGTTTAAAGAAAGGTAAAGAGTGTATACACCTACACCACTGTGATCGATTCTGAGCCGTGTCACCAAGAGTCTCCAACCATTGATTACGATAGTCACGTGGACCCCAACCAAGTAGTCTGCATCTCCCAACATGGCTCAGACTAGAAGTTAATGTCTTCACGCACTGATGCCATGTTTTGGTTTGGCCACCCTTAACTTTCTTCCAACCATCCCGAACACCGGTTAGCATTGCACGTCGTGGTAATCGGTGTTCGGGCATACGTAACATGTGACCCAACCATCTCAGTCGACAAAGATTCACAACCTCACCAACTGATTTACCATCATTACCCAATACCCTGCGTCCAACCTCACTATTACTTACCCGGTGATCCCAGCAGACGCCAGCAATATTTCTAAGGCATTTGTGGTCAAATACTAGTAGCTTACGGGTGTCTTCTACTCTCAATGGCCATTTTTCGCTGCCGTAAATTAAAACAGAACGAACTGCCGCGCAGTATACTCGTCCTTTAATTGATAGACGGATATCTCGCCTTCGTCATAGGTGACATAAGTTGGCAAAAGCCAATCGAGCTTTTCGAATCCGTTCTGAGATTTTATCAGACACCAACCCATTAGGGCTGATCAGCCTTCCAAGATAAGTGAAGTTGTCAACGCGTTCGACTACTTCACTCCCTATCCTTAGTTCAGGTGTTGACGCAGACCAGTCCTGAAGCAGCAGCTTGCATTTAGAGGGAGAAAAGCGCATTCCAAACATTCTGGCATTGTTGCTTAGTGCTACCAGAAGACTCTGGGTTTTAACAGCGTCTTCACCAAACAAGACTATGTTATGTGTATTCTAAGTCGATAAGTGGACCTCCTGGAAGGAGATCAATACCCCAGAATTCAGTCGACGAGAATGTTATTTCCATCAATAAGTCTATGATGAAGTTAAACAAAGATGGAGGAATTGGACAGCCTTGACGGACACCACTTGAGGTTGCAAAAGCAGATGACAGTTCGCCATAAGCTCTACCTCGACTGGTAGTGTTCGAGTAAAGAGCCTTCACAAGGTTTATTTACTTCTGAGGTACGCCTTTCAATGACAGACACTGCCACAGAATCTCGCGGTCTACCGAGTCAAATGCTGCTTTTAAGTCAAGAAAGACCACCATTGTCGGACGCCGATAAGTATGCCTATATTCTAAAACCTGACAAATGGTGAATATGTGGTCGATGCAGCCACGACCAGGTCTGAAGCCAGCTTGATCCTCTCGTGTTTGCAGTTCACGAGTCTTAGTTAGGCGTCTGATAATTATCGAGGCTAGTATTTTAGATACTATATTAGTTAAACTAATCCCTCTATGGTTGTCACAAGATGGTTTTGACCCTTTCTTATATGTTGGGACGATAAGTGATTGTGACCAGTCAGATAGAATAACGTCTAAGTCCCAGATCTTAGCTAAAATACTAGTCAACCTAATCGCCAAAACTGGACCATCATCCTTAAAAACCTCCGGCGCCAATCCATCTAGACCAGCTGCCCTTCCTCGTTTCAGATTAACTATAGCCTTTTGAACTTCTGCTAGAGTTGGAGGACCTACTTCAATGTTCCATTCACACTGTCTGGGAATGGAGGGTCGTTGTAGAGTAGCTGAAGGCCAGCTGAACTGTCCTCTGAAATGTTCCACCCATCGTTCTCAACGTCTAGACTGGGAGCAGATAAGAGTGTCGTCTTTTTCTGAAACATTCTGACTTACACTTGACTTATTAATTCCAGTTTCTTTTATTGGTCTGTAGAACTGTCTTGTGTTCCCTATAGCCGCCGCCTTTTCCATCTCTTTTGCTTTCGTGGCCCACCACTGCTCACGGTCGTTCCCTAGACTTTTGCTTAACCTAGATCTGATTTCTTTACGCTCTTCATCGTGTTCTTAACCTGATGGGGTGAGTTTACGAGAATCCATCAGTGCAATGGATGTTTTGGTCGCGGAGCCTTCGTCGTCCTGCTGAACGACTACAGGAGAATCCTAACGTATATATATATATATATATATACAATATATATATATATAATATATATATATATTTTATATATATATATATAAGATTCCAAGTACGAGTCCATTACAGAGAAAAAAACAATTACTATGGCTCCAAGTTAACATCAAACCGTTTCATTTTCTGCCTAAAAAGAATAGTGGCCCAATCTCCGTATTTTGAGAAAACTTTGGGTTTTCACCAAAGTCCAATGGTCTTCCACAAAATTTCCCCAGATTTTGAGGGTTTTGTGACACTTCTCCAAAATTTTTGAAAGCATATTTCCCTTCAATCCCCTCAAAACGGGTAAAATGTCCCCAAAATCGGGTCTTCTGTTCCCCGTCTCCCAGATGGGATCCAACAGGAAACACCTAGGAGCCGCAATCGCAAGGCTCGATCGGTTTCAAATGGTAAACATAACACGACCCCTCAGGTCGTCGACAACCCCCCAAAACCCAACACTAGTTTTGACGCAACTGCTATTGCTTCTACCAGCAGCGTTAACGAATGGGTAAAGGTTGTAAGGAAGAAAAGTATTGATATAAAAGGGAAACCTGCCCCCGTAAAAGTGGTTGAAAAATCGAAAGCTAATCATAGCGACAGATCAGCTATTTTTCACAGAATTAAGGAGAGCGATAGCTCTGAACCTAAAGCTCGTTTTGAGCATGACATTGTACTGATTAGGCAGCTGCTTAATCAACTCATGCCTCAAAATATGACTGGGGTCACCTTGCTAAAGGTGTATAGACTAGGGAGTCTAACGGACTCGAAACCAAATCATTCCAGACTGCTTAAAGTAGTATTCGGCTCTTCAAACGAACGTGACCTAATTTTACAAAATGGACACAAATTAAAGGGTTCGGGAGTCTTTATCCGAAAGGACCTACCGTTGGCAGACCGTGTTAAAAGACGGGAAGCCGAGAAAGAACTACAACATAGGTTAGACGCTGGCGAAAAGGACCTGAAAATTGTAAATTTTCGGGTTGTAAGACTTCGACAGAGAATGATGCCGAAGCCACTCTGGGTGAAGCACGAAGGCACCTAAACAGGCTTCGGATCTGTTACACCAATGCACGAAGCTTACTTAATAAGCGATCGGAACTAGGTGTACAGATTGACTCTATAAAGCCAGATATAATCGCAGTAACAGAAAGCTGGCTGACACAGGCTATAGATAGTATAGAACTTGATTTCGAGGGCTTTACGTTAGTAAGGGCCGACAGAACACAAAAGCGCAAAGGAGGGGGAGTAGCTCTATTCATTAGGAATGCTATCCCATTTACCATTATCGATAGTGTATCCCATGAGAGTGGGACGTGTGAATTAGTTAGTCTTCGCTTAAAATGCAAGGGACAAGAGCTGCTGATTGGTTTGGTCTATCGCAGTCCAAGCTGTGAGGCAAATGAGATCCTGTTAAGCAGTCTCAATACTTGGTCCCAAAGTGGTCGATGTCTAATCCTAGGGGACTTTAATGCACCAATGGTAGACTGGGAAAATCTGCGAACTGAATCGTCAGAAAATTCCTTCGAGCAGGAACTAGTTGATGCGGTTATCACATGTGCCCTAGTGCAACATGTGAAAGAAGCGACTAGGTACGACCCGGACACTGAATCATCCTTATTAGATCTTATACTGACTCACTATGAGGATGATGTTGCGAACCTCCACCATATGCCACCCTTAGGTAAAAGTGACCACGCAGTCTTAACTTTCGACTTCCATATAACTGCCAGTCATGAGGACGCGTCAGTCCAGTCCAGACCCAACGTCTGGAAAGCAAACATACCAGACATCATGCACTCAGCATCGTTAATAGATTGGACAATAGACCCAGAGTCCTCCATTGAAACGGCCTGGGACACATTTCGAAAATCATACTTAAAAGTTACCACACCTCACATCCCTTGGACTATACCAAAGGGGCCGAAAAACTCACCACCATGGTTCAGTAGGGAGGTCCGTATCCTTCTCCGTAAGAAAAGGAAAACGTGGGATAGATTTAGGTTACTGGGGACTGATGAGTCAAAATCTCAGTATCGAAAGGCTCGGAACACTTGTGCCTCGACCCTCCGTAAGTCTAGAAAATTGTACGAAGAAAAACTTGTTAAGGAATCCATAGAATGTCCTAAACGCTTGTATTCCTATATAAACCAAAGGACAAGGAGAAAAGGAAATATTCCTGCTCTATGGGGAGACAGTACTGCTTCATCATTAGTGGAGGACGACTTTGGTAAGGCTCAAGTGTTCTCGAACTACTTTAGCAACGTGTATACCATAGAAGCGCCCTTCTCGTCAGCGTATACAGATCCCCCCATACATACACTGGATAGCGTGACCATTAAAGAACTCGATGTCTTTGATCTGCTAAATAAGCTTGACACAGGTAAATCCACGGGGCCCGATGAATTACATCCTAGGCTACTGAAGGAATTATCTAACTTCGTTGCGAACCCTTTAAGTACATGCTTTAACCTATCCGTTACGCAGGGTCGCTTACCGAAAGATTGGAAAAACGCCATAGTAAGTCCTGTCTTCAAAACAGGCACGAAACACAAACCTGAGAACTACCGCCCCGTTAGCCTAACTAGTGTGGTTGTTAAAATATTAGAAAAGATTATTCGGAAGGAGCTGTTTAAGTATCTCGATAAAAACCGGATCCTCTCGGAGAAGCAGCATGGCTTCAGAATAGGTTATTCTTGTCTCACTAACTTATTAGTGGCTCGTGAAAGCTGGTGTGCTCTTAAGGACCAAAAGCTACCTGTAGACGTCACCTTCATTGATTTCAGTAAAGCCTTTGATAAAGTTCCGCACAACCGGCTGTTATATAAGTTAAGACATGTCGGGATTGGAGGTAATTTATTGATGTGGATAAAAGACTTCTTAGTTGGGCGTCAACAAAGAGTAAGGGTAAACTCAAAGTTATCTAGCTGGGAAACTGTGCTTAGTGGAGTGCCCCAGGGTACAGTTTTGGGGCCAGTGCTATTCCTCTTGTATGTAAATGACCTTCCTTGTCTCCTATCATCATCGGTCTTGCTATATGCTGACGATGTCAAGATATGGAGAACGATACGATGTAAGAGTGATAGCTTAGAACTTCAAAATGACCTGAAGAAGTTATCTGAATGGTCTCAAACATGGCAGTTGCCGATAAATACTTCCAAGTGTGTTGTGATGCATATCGGTCATCAAGGCACAGATACATACACGATGAATAACACTGAGCTACCTGTCGTCCAGACATATAATGACTTAGGAGTTATCGTTAGTCAAGACTTAAAGACTACTGCACACTGCCGTGCAATAGCCGCCAAAAGTTTTAGAACGTTATGGTCAATACGTAGGGCTTTTAGTCATGTCGACACTAAGACGTTTTTGACTTTGTATACAGTGTTCGTTCGTCCTAAACTTGAGTACTGCATACAAGCGGCTAGCCCCTGCTTTAAAAAAGACAGAGAGCTCCTGGAAAAGGTTCAGAGAATGGCGACTAAGCTGGTTCCCGCAATAGCGAAGCTTCCGTATGAATCTCGACTGGCCAAGCTGAACCTTTTCCCGTTGTCATATCGCAGAACTAGAGGCGACTTGATTACAGTCTACAAATTGCTTAGTGATAAATTTGCACCTAACATGCCCTCATTTTTCTTGTCTTCCAAAACAGAGAATTTACGAGGACACTCCAAAAAAGTTCATAAGCCGAGAACAAATTACTTGTCAGCTGACTATCGACTTTCCCATCGAATCATCAACGAGTGGAATTCACTACCTCAGCACGTGGTTGAGGCTCCATCCGTCGACTCTTTCAAAAGAAAGTTGGATCAACTGAGAGACCACCATTGCCAGGACTAACATAGGCCATCGAGCCTCCTGTCCTTCCCAAACTGAAACTGAAACTGAAAACTTAGATTTACCAGTACTGTAGGTATTAATTGATAATAAAGTCAATGAAAGCCTTATGACTTACAAGTGATCTCCACTGAACTGACTTGATATAATCCGCGAAGATCAACGATCAGATAAACCTTTTGATTTAACTGAGCATGGAAAAGCCCATGTGTGTTTTTATCGTTATCAAACAGGTCTTGTAATTGTCTTGCAGCGAGTATCTTCGTCAAAAGCCTATGGTCATGTGCCTTTATATCAACCAGGTCAGTTGATGATAAATAAGATAGCGTGTTGGAAACAGAAGTAAATAGAAGCAGGAACAACTGTAAGAAGTACATGCCCAACGACCTTAACTTCAATCAAAATCGTCCCAGCGTCTGTAACGTTACAACAGTAACTAATAAAAACAAAATCGGTCTACTTTTGTGTAGTGATCTAAAGATAGCGCCAATGCACAGTTATTATCTTTATTCATTTTCCAGCTGAAAAAGTTCATAAAAACGTTGATATTAATTTCTGCTTCTCTTCTTAGATAATGTCCCTCATGGAGTTGTCTTAAAATTATAGATGAAAGTTCTTAGTCCTCAGTCCTCAGTAATAAAAATAGTTGATCAGTAGACCTATACTAATCCTTGCAGCTTGTTTGCCAGCAAAGATCCTCTCCGTGAAGTTGTTCACTGATGGAGCTGATACCACTCGATAACAAAAACAGAATCACATTCTGCATTTATTTGACCGTGGTTTTTTATTCTTATTATTACTTTAGAAATGATTACACAGGTAAGGTAAGATGCATGAAACATCTACGTCAAAGCACTCGAATGTTCAATTTAGTGTCTATAACGTTTGGAAAACAATTTTGTAAAACTTGGCTTAAAGCATTTAAAATGAATTGACTCGTCTTTACAAAGAAGTTTCTTTGTAAAGCTTTTTGTGAATTTCAGGATGCTACAACTAATTTCCCTCTCAATGGATATAATGAAACATCAAAAGAGTGGTAGATTTTTTCACAACGTCTGCACTATTTTTATTATCAATTAAAAACTATGTTTTCAGTCTCAAACAAAGTACTTCTTTTAAAAACACATTGGAGCTTGATAACTAGTTGTGAAAAACACGTAAGGCATCTGTAAAAACAAAGCTATTCCACGGTGCTCTATGTTTCACGTGCTGTTGGAAAACACTAATTCTACAAGTACCAGTTTACAAGCTTATCGGGTAGTAACGAACTATGCACCGTGAGTGAGGCATCGAGGCAACATTTTAAATGAATATAGTATAGAGTATTGGTTGCCAATCAAAGAATGAGTATCAAGAAGGGCATAATGAAATGTAGCTGATTACCGGAGAAGGCGGAAAAGTCGAAGAATGTGATATTTTGAGAAAAGGTAATGTGTGATAAAATAAAAGGAGTGTTAAGTTAACACAGTGGACATGAGCGTAGAAAGCTGATAAAAAATAGACAAGAAAGAAACTACACTAACTTCATGCTGATGTTATTTTGTGCTATCCTAATCGGTTGATGGGGACATTATGCGTTACTCACCAGATTTCGGAATATGTACCGGTCTCTAAAAATAATGTGAATATTTTGAGCAATAGCGTTCGTATGTCCGTTCCTGATATTTTATGAGGAATCAATGGGATGTCATCGGCACCAGAACTCTCATTCGGCTTAAGGGTTTTGAAGGCGAAATCATGGGAGGCAGCCTGAGTAAATGATGGCTGAACCAGAAGTGTTTTTATTTTTTTTGTATTTGCTACTGCCTTTTTGTTCGTTGTTCAGTAAGTAACTTGTTGAAATACCCTGTGCTGAGAATTCTATATTGTACCAAAATATAATATTGAACAAAGCCCTTAATAATAATAATAATGTATACATCCAACTAGTACCTTACATGCATGAATGTGTACAATAAGCCAAATCCAATCAGATAGTTTGCTGAGGATATCACCGCTATAGATTTCCACTCTCATATTTTCAGATGAATATACAAGACAACCACCAGCCCTTTAGAGAATCTATCACAGAGGAAGAACTCATAGGTGTCTATTTGGAGATATGAGTCTGTGACATCGAAGGACAACCGACTTCCCGTTATCAAAGCAACTATAGGGTTATTTAACAGTAACAGGGTGCGTAGCTGAATCATTTTATTTCGTACAGATTGAGCATTGATCAACATAAGTGACAGATACGGTGAGTATATTTCTAGTAGGAGGGTGTGATAAAGACCTTGTGGATTATCTGTTTTACCATGAGGAGAAGAGGAAGAAGTAGGAGTACCGCCTCCATATCATATTCGTTAAGTTTATCATCAATATGGCTAGTAAGAGTGTAGAGGTAAAGAAATCGCCAAAATAATTAGTCCTGTATGTCTTGGACATTTTATGCTGAGTGCATTAGTTTTATTCAACCCACCTAGCTGAAGGCGTTCGGTCACGCATCCACACCAGATCACAATTGGGTACGCCGTGCTACACATTCTCTAGAACCGCAAGACAACTTAGATTGATCACTTCCCGATATTTCGAAATTCTATCAAATATATCTTCCAATCTTTTCGCTTCTCACTTCTAATTTAACTGGATTAGCACATTTTGATTATAAAAGGTGTAGATGGTTAAGGCGTTGTCATACTCCGAATACTTGTGGCATCTTTAGGAGAAAGGTATTCGAAGTATACTTTTGCAAACGAAGTATGTTTATGGCGTTATTATGAAGTGAGACAAAAACCACATGCACCTTCAAATCTATTGTCTGTTTCTGGATTCTCAACAGCAAGATTCAGGGTGGCATAGATGTAAGATCCAAACTACGTTTGGACTGCTGGACAGCTGCCTGGATAAGTTAGATACGCGCCCTCGCCCGTTTGAAACCAAAACAAAGTAATTGGATAAGATAGCGGTTCTATAATTTATCATAAATTCAAGTGTACATTATTACCTAAACAAATATAACCACTCAGCTATCCAACCAATAATTGTTCAATTGATCAAATCTAAATTACAATAAATAAGAAAGTTGATAAAGGATGCAAGAAATTTACCAATCACGACAAATCAACGTTATTCTATCCTGGCTGGATAGATCACACACAACAGGAGGAGCAAATCAATATGGCTACCGCCAAGAACAAGTGTCAAGTAAAACAACACAGATGCAGTTCAGGAAGAAACACAAACTTAGTGAATGCGTAAGAAAAACAAAATCTATAATAAAAAATACAAGTATTAACAACTCAAATGTAATCAAAATACAACAATGTACAACTAAGGGAATCAATAGGAACAAAGTACAAGTATATACATGGAGGGATTTTCACCAACACATAAAACCTTCAAAATGGATCTTACAATAGACTTTTTCGATTTTCTGATGATCGAGATATGCCTTAGAACGTGATTAGGGTTCTTCTTCTGCATGCCTCCAACTAAATGGAAGACTTCTGTGTTGAATCCATTAGTCCTTGTCCTAGTCTTGTCTTATGAACCTCACCTTAATCAAGTCTAATAACTTCCGGTTCAAAAGAAAAGTAATCACAACGTTGTTATGGTAAAGCTAATTACGACCATATTCAACTGAACCGATAGACCAATCTGTCCTTATTTCTAGATCAGTTCGGGTACTATCATGTCGACTTATTTTTCAGTCCGTAGGCTATGTTGAAGTTACTTATTATCCGTTAATATTCAGAAACGCGGTAATCCTCATCAATGGCAGTTTCATAAATTCGTCAGCACCATACATTCTGTTTGGTCGGGTCGTTCACTGTCAGACTAAAACAATGAAAACAGGAACTTAGTCTTATTATTCAATTCAAGCTGAGTGTATTCCAGCAGCCCGCCATCCTCAAGTTCATCTAGAAAGCAAACTGAGAGCAACCCTAAAAATATAGTTGTGAAACCCTCGAGAAGAAATTTTAAAAAATTATTTACGACCTGTAGGGGGCTGATACTATGTCGATCCCATATAGGTTATTCTCGCCTCTGAACAGGTCAATGAGTGTACGAAATATATGTATTCACACTTCATTCTCGCAAATGAATCTTTTTAATTTCATTATTCACTAGCGTGAGTTACGTCAATGATTAAATACGAGGTTATCCAAGATGTATATTTCGAAAGCAGTCCGCAAACGATCAGATTGGAGTCAGATACCTGGTCACTAAATACTGTAGTGTCAGTTATTATTTCAAGCACATATACCTTATTCTAGTTTTCGGACAAATCAATCTATTCATTCTACGTGAGTCATATGTTGACCTTGTTAGTTATTCGCTTACCAGTCTTCATTATTTTTATATGAGCGCATATGTGTGTGCACTTCCCATCCCATTCATCACATGTCTGTAGCTTATTTTTGTCTGCCTATAAATACTGATTAACGCTTGACTAAAAATGAGTTGGCTTACCAGCCATCTCTACTCTGCGTCGCTTCTCTTCCTTCTATTCCATTCATCTCATATACAAAATATATGTATTCAAAATCCCATTATCGTTATTTGACTCATTTAATTCCGTTATTGGCTTACGTGATTTAAGTCGACGATTATATACGAGAATAGGCGATAACAAACATTCGTACGATCTAAATAGGAGTCAGGTCCACGGGCCACTAAAATACCTAGAAAAAGGTCTCATCCTCTATATAATATGGATCATGTTTTTCAGAATGAAATATTTTTAAGAATAGAACATTTCGACTGTAATGTAGAAATGGAAAACATACTGGTAGTGCCCAATGCAAGGCTGTAGGTCTCTGAAAATCTATTTCTGAAAAGCAGAGTTTTATAGTGTTCAATATCATAGTAATAAGGGAAGATATAACCAATCCTTTAATAAATTTCATCACGTCTGTTTCGTGTAGAACCCAGTCATTCTGTTAGCCGTTCACCAAAACCTTGTTTCAAGTTTGTAGGTTTACTGAATCCTCACGGCTAGCTCCAAAACATTTCAAACTATGTAGAACATCTGTCGAGTAATATTAAAAAATGAAGTGCGTTGTTGGAGTCTGACGATATCTCTCTTATCTATTACTAATAACTAAAAATATCCCGTTTCCTCTGTCATACTGCAGTATTGGACCATTTCAGAGAATAAACTACGTCTTTCTACTTCTAGCAGACAACAACAATAAAAAATCTGGTAGGTACAGTAAGGTTAAACCACCATGTGGTAGGTTTAGTCATCCCGATCATCGGCTTGGTGGCGGAAAGATTACTTCATCCATACGATGTTTTCCGCTAAGAAATCCAGAGGCAACGTTTGAATATCACTTGACTTCCACGTCCTACTCTTGTGCAATAAATATTTACGCACTTTTACGACTTTTGCGGAACTTACAGTTTATGCAGTTTTTCCTTGATTAAATCCCATACTCGACTATTTAATACGCCTGTTTCTCCTCATAGAGGAGCATAGATCACCCATCAGCATTCTTCATCCAAGTCTGTTC